GGAGGATTCTAAAATGCAACCGGAGAGTAGCCACAACTAATCTATGATCAGTTCCACAGAACTCGGTGCTCCGATACACCCTGCAGTTCTGGAGGGTCCTCCATCTAGTGCTAACGAGGATGTAGTCGATCTCCTTGGCATCATTACCTGTATTGCTGTACAGCGATGCGGGTCATAACGCTGATACCAGGAGTCAGAAGTCCTCAGTTTCTGGGACCTAGCAAAGTCATGGAAAAGGAGGTTAATCTCTTTCACCTCAAGATCATACACATCCGTAGGAGTGTACACAGCAATAAGAGACATGAAGCTAGTATTAACCCTCAGTAGTAGAGGTCACTGGAGTGACCTCTACTACCGAGGGTTGAAGTCTGCTGGAGATGACTATGGCTACTCCTTGGAGATGGTGGCCATCGCTGCCGTCCGACCAGTAATAAGTGTAGCCACCCACACTAATCGTGCCGCTGCCAGGTCTTCTCACCTCTGAGAGAGCAGCCACTTCAACTCTCAGCTGCTTCAATTCCCTCGACAGTAGTGATAACCGATCGTCCTGTTGCAAGGAACGGACGTTCCAAGCCCCCCACCCTGACAGCTCGCCTGAGGTCTAACCTCGGGCAGTCACTCCGGGTGGGTGCCACCTCCATATAGAGGGGTTTGGCTGGCTGCAGGTCCCATAATCCATCTGCGGGGTTCCTGGGGGCTTTGCCCCACAAGCCAGGCTATATATATATGTATATATATGTTTATATACACACATATATATGATATACATACATATATATAAATATATTTACACACACATATATCTAATATAAATACATTAGCTATATGTATGTATATATATTTATAACATAAATAAGTGAATATATGTATTTATATATGCATATATACGTATATAAATATAAATATATATATATATATATATATATATATATATATATATATATATATATATATATATATAGTGTGTGTGTGTGTGTGTGTGTGTGTGTGTGTGTGTGTGTGTGTATGTGTGTATGTGTGTATGTGTGTGTATGTGTGTGTGTGAGTGTATATATATATATTATGTATGTGTGTGTGTGTGTGTGTGTGTGTGTGTGTGTGTGTGTGTGTGTGTGTGTGTGTGTGTGTGTGTGTGTGTGTGTGTGTGTGCGTGTGTTCACAGAACTCAAAAACCTCTGTGGGAGTCCTTCAAGCGCAAAACACTCTATTGGCGAATGCCTGAGGGCAAGACAGAATTGCATCTCACTGGAGACTTAGGAAGTCACAGAAGCGTGTCACATGACTCGTCTGAATGGCACTCAGGACTTGGTGCATAGGGCTCAGGCACTGCCCGGTCAGCCTTCTCAGTCGACTCAGCTGTGAATGATGTTTGCCGGGATCAAATTCTTGGCGAAAGGAACATGGCCATCCTACCGCATCATCTTGTGGCTTAGTACGCAGGTCCCTCCGCGAAAATATCCGTATTCTATATGTTTATATATGTTCCTGCACATCATATACACATACTAATCAAATTGGTCGTTTGTGTTGTTCCTTCGAAGCCGTTCCGATCGTGGCCAACCAGCTGGGTACCGCTCTGAGCTACCTGGAGGCCCTTGCTGTGCGGGCTCCGGGGGGTGCAGTGACTCCTGCTGACATCAGAAGTGACGTCACTACACTCCTTTCTGTAGGTTAGTTCTAATGTTTTATCAGGTATATAAAGTGCGTGTGAAAGAGATAATAAAAAAATACATGTGCATATATTTGTTCCAGAGGCAGGTATAGCTGCAACATTGCTGGTGATGACGGTAGCCTACTTTCCCTCCCGCCCGCCCTCCCCTCCCTCCATTACCTCCGCCGCCCCCCGCCTGGAGTACCGCGCTGCCCTCGCAGCGATTGTCAGGTGGGTTTGCCTGCGCCTGCGGCTGTAGTCGCTGCTGCCGTTCACTGGTGGCAAGACGCCCTCAAGCTGACACCGCAGACTTCGAGTTTACAGTTTTGGTTTGAATAAAAGTTTGCAAACTGTTACCTTTGTTTGCACTGATGCAGATGTGAGTGTCACGCAATGATAATGAAGCTAATGATAAAAATGAATGTAATGATCTATATAATTGATGATACGAAGAGTGACAACAACAATTATGATAATTGCGTTGATGATAGCTGTCAATAATACTAATAATACTGGTGATAATGATCACCAAATAGATTATGACAATATCAAGCTATGATAGTTCTTGTTAAAGTTCCAAGGTTATTCCTGTACCATTATCGCAGTTCTTATCACTATTGCTGTAACCAAAACCATGCTATATTTATATGGTTATGATTATGATTATAGTTATAAGCGTTGTTATAATTACAATTAGCATTAGGATTAGACTAGTAATCAAGAATACTTTCATGATTGTTATCATTATTAGAAAGTGAGACAGAGAGAGTGAGACAGACAGTGAAACAGACAGTGAAACATAGAGTGAGACAGACGGACAAACAGACAGACAGACAGACTGATTAAATGACTGACCGACTAACTGACTGACTGACTTACAGACTAAGTGAGTTATCTACTGATTGACTGACTGACAAACAGACAGTCAAACTGACTGAGGTACCGACAGACAGTCAGACTGACTGAGTGACAGACTGACTGACAGTGGCTGACTGACAATCTGACTGTCTGATTAGACATGCAGTCAGACTGACTGCCTGATTAGGCATACAGTTAGACTGACTGACAGACATACAGTCAGACTGACTGACTTGACCGAGTGAGTGACCGACTGACAGACTGGACTGAGTGAGTGACCGACTGACCGACTGCCTGACTGACTGAGTGCAGACAGACAGAAAGACAGACGGTCAGACTGACTGATAGTCAGACTGACAGACAGACAGAGAGTCAAACAGACAGACAGACAGAAAGTCAAACAGACAGACAGAAAGTCAGACTGGCTGACAGACAGTCTGACTGACATTCTAACTGTCTGATTATACATACAGACATACAGTCAGACTGACTGACTGACAGACTAGACTGAGTGAGTGACCGACTGACTGATTGACAGTCAAACTGTCTGACTGACAAACAGTCGGACTGACTGAGTGATAGACAGGCAGACAAACTAACTGACTGACTGACAGACAGTCAGACTGCCTGACTCTCTGATTAGACATACAGTCCAACCGACAGACATACAGTCAGACTGATTGATTGACTGTCTGACAGACAGTCAGACAGAGAAACAGACAGACAGGCAGGCAAGCGGACAGACAAGCAGACAGACAGATAGACGGACGGACGGATAGACAGACAGACAGACGGACGGACGGACAGAAGCACAAACGCAAAGGCAAGCAGAGAAACCAGAGTCGTGGAACCGCCTTCCTCCTCCCCAGAAACCGCGACGCGCTGCTGGTGTTCGCGTCGTACGGCCTGTCCAGCATCCCGTGGGAGGCCGTCCTCAGCTACTACCTCTCGTCCCTCGGCATCCAGCAGGTGGGCGGCCGGGCGTTGATGGCGATTTTATGGCGAGAGTAATTGGGGTTGTGTGGTTTGTTTAGAAAAGAGTAATTGAGTTGTTTTGCACGTTTGTTTGCAAGAGAAATCATTGATGGTGAGAACAGGAACGATGATGATTAATTTAATTAATTTAATAATTAATTTAATTAATATAATAATTGACGTTACATATAGAGGGGATTAACAAAAATGGTTTAGCGGTGATGATTCTGATAGTAATGGTGGCGTTGATAATGCTGAGATATTATCATTTACGGTGACAATGATGATATACACTTTTAGACAAAAAAAAAAAAAAAAAAAAAAACTACGAAAGAATTTCCTATCATTGGTGAATATTAGTTGGGTTAGGTTTAGTTGAAATTGGATGAGCTGGATTTTAAATAGACATTTCCGTCGCTGCCGCCAGTGTTCTTGAGCCAGCGAGGCCCCAAGCAGCCTCCCCGCATGTACAGCCCGTGCCTCCTGTTTCAGGAAGAGGCCTCGTGGCTGGGGGTCGTCGCCGTGGTCTCCTCGGCCGCCGCGGGCCTCCTCGCCGCCCGACTCACCGACCTGCTCTACGGCCACGCCCTCACCTGCGTGCTGGCGCTCATGCTCACCTCCGTCGGGGCGCTCTACTGGCTCTGCCTGCTCTCGTGGGGCACCGTCCCCGCGGCCAAGTGTAATGCGCAGGGCCATTTCTTGTCATACACTATTCTTTAGGGGTTTGCTCGTTCCCGATTCCAGGAAAAGAAAACGTTGTTTTCCGGTGATTGTTATCATTGTCATTATTTTCATCATTACCATCTTTAAGATGATATCAATCATGATAATTTTAATATTATTATTATTGTCGTTGTTATTGGTATAAAGGTGGTGGTGATCCTCGCTATCCTCATCCTCATTATTGTTAATTTCTTTATCATCATGGTTCTCTTAAAACAAAATTAATTTATCCTTCGTAATTGACACTATTGCACCAAGATTACGTACCAGTAAAACTGCTCTTGCATATTACCAGAAAGTCATCACTATCCTCCGCGGGCCGTCAGTGCCGTGCTCGTGAACGGAGCGGAACGACTGTCGTCGGTGCATCCCTGAATGGGGCAGAGGCCTTAATCATGATAACTGATAAGCCTAATAAGGATAATTACAACAGTGATAATGATTATAAAACGATTATGATAATGATGATGATGGTGTTGGTCACAATACTATTACTACTACTACTACTACTACTACTACTAATGATAATGGTTATGATAATGATAATGATAATAATAATGATAATAATAATAATAATAATAATGATAATGATAATGATAATGATAATAATAATGATAATAATAATAATAATAATAATAATAATGATAATAATAATAATAATGATAATGATAATGATAATGATAATGATAATAATAATGATAATATTAATAATAATATTAATTATAATGATAATAATAATAATAAAAAAAAAAATAAATAATAGCACTCATAGGTCCCCACCTCCTCCCAGGGCAAGTTTACGCGTCCGTGATTGGCGGAATGGCAGTGAACTTCGGCGCGACGCCCCTGTTCGTGGAGCTGGCGGTGGAGCTGGCGTATCCGTGCCCCGAGGGCGTCGTCACCGGCTTCATGGTGGCTGTCCTTAACTTCACCGGCGCCGTTTTTCTATTCTTGTTTTTCATACCCAATATTGGTAAGCATTTTTTTCTTCTTATTCAATTTAATTTTCATATGTACAGCTGATTAAATAAATGCGTTGCCACTCTCACGATATTGAAGTATGATTTTCTCTGGTAATATAGTAAGGCGGTAAAGTTTGCAGAAACAAGTCTAAGATTGAATGAATATCATTAGAATTTTCTCAGATTTTTTCCCACTCTCTTATCATAAATAGAGCGAAACAAACAAAAAAGTAAACGAAAATAACAGCGCTTATTTCTCCCCGTTTCTCAGCGTCGGAGTTGCCAATCTACTTTCATTTGGAAATTACTGAAATTAATCTACTTAATATTGGCTAATGTGTTGATAGTGAGGCGGTGAATGTCAATTGCACATGCGTATTATTCCATATCATTTGTGATGTGAGGTCAAGTAGGCCTGCCTGTCATATCCGTATCGAGTAGATATATCTCAGCACACATGCAATCAAATTATCTGAAATTCCTTAGACTCACAGTGAAGTATGTTTGAAGAAAATATATGAAGCATATTGGCATTAGTGATTAGTCTGTTATATACAGTATTCCGTATATGAATTCATGTTCATTGGAAACTGTCATTTCTATTATTAGTTGGCTACAAGCAGGAGCAAGTTTGTAATCGTAGCATCAACAACAAAAAAGCTGAGAATCGCTCGCTAGAACCTCGATCACAGCAATGACATTCAGTTAAGAGATAAAAGTGTCATGTGCCTATTACGTTATAAGATTACTTATATATTGCACTCTAAATATCATTCATGGAAAGTGTGCTAAGCAATTATAGCGATGTAATTTTGATATAAAAGTTTTTTTCTTTTTTTTAAATTTCTTACGTGAATGCATAAAACTCTTTGCCAAATAAAATAATTTCTAATATTTTATGGCAGCCGCGATCATTTCCAGTCAGATGCTTACGTGTGTACAGGTGTGTTTGAATGCATGTGTAGTTGGTGTATCAGCATCAATGTGTATTTTATATTATATGTATAAGCAGGTGTATCTGCATCCGTGCTCATGCATTCACATGTCTGTATGTAGTTATGTCAAAACACATGTATATTTTTAGACATATTAGGTGTCTATTTATAATATAAATATCCAGGAAGATGATAAGATAAGACATAATTATATATCGAACTGAAACAAATGACTGAACACGACCCTCTGACTACCCCGCCAGGATACTCTTGGGTGGTCTACTACCTGCTGGGGTCGTGCGTGGCGTGCGCCCTGCCACTCCTGCTGGTGCGGGAGGACTACGCCAGGTCCTCCATCGACCGCCGCCGCCGCCTGGGTCGCCCCCTTGAGGGAGACGCTGACTCTCGCGCTTGTTAATTGTTATAGATTGTATATCGGTTGGATTTAATATATCGAGCTTTACATTTTGAGTTTTATTTTTGATGTGTTATTTTCTCAGTTATCACCTTTATTATCAGTTATTATCATAATTTTCATTTCTAAGGTCATCATGTTTAATGTTGATATCATTATGATCAGTATCATCATTACCATCATTATTATTTCTATTTGTAATGCTTTGTTAGCATTATTGTTATCAATATCATCGTTACCGTCATTTTACTATTTTCAGGATTATTCCTCTTTTCACTATGATCATCAACATCAACATCCTGATCATTTAGTGCATCCCTCGATATGATTTCATTGCATAAAACATACAACAACAGTTTTACAGTTCTCTTGCCTAACTCCATCCCTGTCTTCCCAGAGAGTCTCACAGTGGCCGATGCTGCCGAATCCCCTTTGATAAGTAACGATGCGCAAAATATATTGGCACGGAAAATTCTTGATATTTATCAAACACTAATCGAATATTGGAGATATGCTCACGAAACCGCCTGCTCTGAGAGGATTTCTTGGGCGTATCACTTTGTAGTTTCAATCAGTATGTCTCATGTCTGATAGCTTCTTTTCCCTTTCTAATAGATTGTGAGGCTTTCAACCTCCCCCCCCCCAGACCAGAATCATCACCCCCGCCCCCTCCTTTCCCCGATCCTTCTATCCCTCTCATACCCTTATTCGCCCTCTTGTTTCATTTTTTTCGTCTCTCCACTTCCCTCTACATCTCCACTTATTTCTACCCCCTCTACTTGTTTCCCCTGTTTGTTCTACTTTCTACTTCTCTTCCTATCCTATCCTGCCTCCATCCTACCCCCTACCCTGCCTTGTATCCTGTAGCATTTCCCCTTTTCCCCTTCCACCCTCTTATTCGCACCTTCTTCCTGTCCCCTCGATTTTCCCTCCTCTCTACTTCCACGCTAGTTTCTCCCTCTTCGACTCGTTTTCCCTGCTTGTTCTACCTTCTGTATCTATCCCTATCCTATCCCTATCCTGACATGTATTCTGCCGCATTTCCTCTCGTACCCTCTCATTCGCACACTCTTCTTGTTCCTTCGCTTTTCCGCTTCCTTCTACTTCTACGCCAATTCCCCCCTTTTCCATTCCTTTTTCCCGTGTTTTACATTTTTTTGTATCTATTTTGACTAAAACCATGATCGGATTCTTTACAACGACTCGCATGATGGGTGGATAACGGAGCCTCCACATCTGCTGCGTGTCTATCTTTCTTTTAATATTTTTTTAATCCCTTGCGTCCTGAGATCAGTTTTATTTTTAAGTGGTTTCTTTTTACATGTCTGTCATTTTAATCTCTCTCTTACAATGGGAGAATGTTACTGATTTTACCATTATTGTTTTATGTGTTTTTTTTATATAATTTCCTTAATCATTTCCTTTAATGTTTTATTGCTTTTATTTATGGTTTTAGCTTACGTATATTTTCTTCTATTATAACATTTCCTGTTTATTTTGTTTTACTGTGTTTAAGTGCCACACTTCCGTCCGCGTGACCCCCCAATTTCTGATAAATAATGGGAATGGATACTTTAATTGACTCCATGGATTTTGTCTTTGGGCTTACACGTAGAGGCCGAAACAAGGCTGTCCTGTCCACTTTACCTATCTAGGTGTATTTATGCTGGACGTGTTTTATTATTTTACATCAGGTGTTTACTGTGAACCATCTGTGCTTCTTTAACTGTTACTTTTACTTACTCTGAATTTTATTTATTTTATCTTGTCCTTTTAGTCGTTTCTTTTACTCCTGTTTTACCCTTTTACTCGTCTTTTACTTTAGCTTTTGCCTTTTAAGACTTTTCTGTCTATTTTTACGATCTTTCACTTTCTCCTCGTTTCACCTTTTACTTGTTTTAGTTTACCTGTTAATTTTTTTTAAGCCCTTCTGACAAGCTTTATGCTTTTTAAGCCCTACTGTTTTCTTTGTAATACTTATTCTCTTCTGGCATTTGTCATTTTAAAGTCTTGATTTTAGTTTTACTTTGGTGCCTTCTGCACTCTATGCCCTTGCTTTTTCTTCATTTTAAGATTTTGTTTTTATCATTATGTGTCATCTTTATATTGGTCACGCTCATGGTAGGCCTGCATCTCCGGGGATAGTTCTAAGCCTTCAACTTGGTCCCCAAGCCCCTTTTCGAGGAAGGGCCCCTCATTTTCCTTGGTCCCTAAGCCCGAAGCCTCCCGCCTCACCGGTGGCCTCATTTGGGTTCCTGATTCACATAACCTTACAAATTCTTTGATTGTTCAGAATGCTTTACGAGAGTCGTTCTTCTGACGTTCCCTCTCCCACTTCCTTTCCATATATTCCTCCCATTTCTTTTCAGGCGTTTTTTTCTTGTACTCTTTGCTTGTCTCTTCCATGACGCACGGCCCCTTTTTCTTTTGGTCATTTTTGTGCAGTGCTTCTTCAAGTTTCCATAAGCCTATGTTGTTTCCTTTGGAACAAATCCACTACCGGCTGCTTGGCCCGTCTGTTTCCCTTGCTGCATATCGACGGTTATCCTACATCACAACCAAGACAAGATAATGTTTCTACATTTCTTAAGACAAGAAACTATTTCTAACATCGATTTTCAAATGAATTGATGTCTTTGTGTAGTCATATAGTTGGCTAGTAGACTTTGTTGCAGATTTTTGTTTTTAAATCGATTCTTTATTTCACTTTGGATATAATTTCTGTCGTCTTTGCAACAAGACAGATTTAGTACACTAGTGATGTTGCCAAGGCTTGTTCAAGGTTACCAGGGGCTTTCAGACTTTTCGATCCATCTTCACCCCAATTCAAGGTTTTAAATGAAAATTACAGGGCATGTATATAGTTATTCTGAAGCTAATATATGCATATTATTACAAATTCAGAATTCGTTTTTATTGTGATATTGTAGGGGTATGGAAGGTACGAGATATACTGGAAGTGAGTCGGGTGAGTTAGAACTATTCATTTTTTTTTAAACATCTTTATCGTGCAATGATATAGCCAGTAGTTTTACGCATGACCGCTCCTGCCCATGGACGATTAAACACTTCCACACACTCTCACATAATTAATGTTGGATGTGGAAGATGTGTGTGAGCATCCGTGGACAGGCAGGGTGACGAAGCAGGATTCCATCCCTCGAGTAAACTGGCCTTTTGAAAACATACCAGCAAGCCTTCAAGGACCTCACAGCCACAATAGACTTTTCATATTTTGCTTACCTCCTGCCGTATATTTACTTGACTCCAGCTTTATATTCAAGCCCTTCTTAACTTCATTTTACGAGCACCTTGCTGTTCATCGGTCCCTAGCCAGTTCCTAACCCCTTTTTTTTGACTCATTGCTTGCATCCGTTGACCTCATATGGTCGATATTGACTATTTTTGACAATTCCCGAAATATACAAGCTTCTCTTGTGATGCTTAAAAGATTTGCTAACTATAACTATGCCATTTGATGTAAAGAAAGTTACCAATAATTCACTTTTTTATTTCGGTTCCCAAGATCAGTATCCCCCCCCCCCCACACACACACGTAGATATATATAGATAGATAGATTTAAATATTATAAGCAACCAGTCAAAAAGCAAAATAGTTCTGCAAGTATTTTAGGCAAAAACTTCCTTCACGTGAATCATGCAAAGAAGTTAACACTGAAATAGCATGACTTGTAAGCGGCAGTATGTGCAGAGGGTCGCGGTATGTGTACATAATGACTCGACGATTTGTTCCACAATAGTTGCATGCATAATGGCGCCGAGATTGCAGAAGGGCGAGGGAAGAAGTGAAGGCAAGGAACATGAGTAGAAAAGACACGAGAAACAGAAGGAGAGAAAAAAGAGAGAACAGAAAAGGAAAGGAATATAAGAAGGAGAGAAAAAGAATGTATTATAAATCTGCTCAAGGAAATGAAAGAAACAAAAATAGGAAACAATGAAAGAGAAAAAAAAATGAAGTAGAACTAAGGGTGATGCAAAACAAAACAGAGGAAATAGAGGAAAAAGAAAAAGAAAAACGGAGGAGAGAGGGAAGAGTTTAGGAGGAACAAAGGTGAAGGCAAATAGGTGGCGATTGGCCTTGGAAGTGATTGCACAGGACTGACCGCAAACAGTGTGTGTGTGTTTGGGTATGTGGTGTGTGTGGGTATGTGTGAGTGTGTGTGCTTGCGGTCGTGCGCGCGCGCGCGCGCGCGCGTGTGTGTGTGTGTGTGTGTGTGTGTATGTGTGTGTGTGTGTGTGTGTGTGTGTATGTGTGTGTGTGTGTGTGTGTGTGTGTGTGTGTGTGTGTGTGTGTGCGTGCGTGCGTGCGTGCGTGCGTGCGTGCGTGGGTGTACATGTTAATGTATGAATGTGTGTGCGCAAGTGTGTCTTCATAGAAGTATACATACATACACATAAAACGTAGTCTTCGTACAAAACCACACTACACAACGCTTTGCTGCATTTTCTCTAAAGCCCCGTCATTACAGCACAAGACAGGAAGACGACACCCTTCCTGATAAAAAGGAAAATTTTAATTGCGTAATTACGATCTATGTAGCTGTATAAGCGGACTTTGTCTACACTGAAAATAATATTGTGACTTAACATACACATACATCACATCACATCACAACGCAACACAATGCAACACCACATAATGCAGCATAACACAACACAATACAATAAAATACAACATAACGCAACACACCACAATGCAACACGTGATAACACAAAACAGAAGAATACAACGCAACACAACACACTAGATAGCACAACACAAAACAATGAAGCACGAAACAGCGCAACACAATACAGTATAACGCAACGCAGCGCATCACAACTCAGCGCGACGGACCATAACAAATCACAATGCAACACAGCTCATGCAACGGGGCAAAATAGAATGAAACACAAAACGATGTAACACAAAGCATGCACTAATATGTTCCTACGGTTCCCTCGAAATGTCCAGGCGGCGCGGGGAGTGAAGGGCGCAGTCAGAACTTCATAGGAAAAGCCCGGCCGAATTTATTAGCGAAAAATTG